TTAAACAAGTTGTTGAACAAAAGTGAGATTTAGCTCTCTCAGCAAGGAGCTAAATCTCCACCTCAGAAATCAGTCCTTAAGAGCGATAAGCACTGCCTAAGGACCTGTACCTACGTTAATAACCTCAGGATGAGCCTGAAGCAAATGAACATAAGCATGAATTCAATTAAAAGACCTTTTGAACATACAATATACTTGGACAGCCAAATACACTATATGTCAGTTGTTGAACCCCAAATAAGAATTTCAGACTGAATAATTGAGGCATGAGACCTACAATCAACAGTTTGAGAAGCTGAGCACAAAACAGGATCAAACAACCTTCAACAACTGTCTAAACCTCAAATCATTGCAATGAGCACAAATGCCTGAGAACTGATCCTAAATTTCCACCAGACAAGAGAGGAATTACTCTCGGAACATGATCATGATAATCGATTCACAATTTAAACACATGATCGCAGGAGTATATCGTCTGAACAAGAGATTAGGACTCAGATTTGAATAGCACAAAATCAAACGTTCAATTATGAATCAACAATTCAAACAATCCTCAAACATTAAAACTGTATCTCGAATTTGGAAATAAAAACAACGCAGTACCTATGGACAGCGTTCGAGGATCAAATCCTACGAACGTGATGACTCCTCTGTTCAGTCACAGCGCTTGATCGGGAGGAGCGCTTGGTGATTGTGCGATGAATGATGATGATCGCGAGGTCTAGCTCGCCGGATTATGCCTGGTCGCCGAATTTCTCCCCCGGTTAACTCTTCGATCTCACCTTCTTTCTCTCTCGTTCCTTTCTCCTCTCGCGTAACTGATCTCTCCCTCTCACGTAACTAAGTTTTGTACTCAACTAATGGGCCGGGTTGGTTATTTTCACCTTGGGTCGTTTAGCCCGATTCTAACAATTAACCCATTGGACCTAAAATAACACAAGAATTGCACTCTAACCTCTAGGATGGTCAACGTTCTTTCTTGATCTTAAATTAAACCAAATTCTCACTAATGGTGACCCAAAGATTAGTAAATGTAAGGGAATTTAAAGACTACAAAAGAACCTAACAAAATCCCCCACACTTACTTCTTGGCCGTCCTCGGCCAAGTTGTAGAATGCAAGTATAGAAAGCTCATCATCTCATTGCTGTACGTACATTCCTCCTTTCTCTTATTCTAAAGTCCGACCAAATGAACTAATGTAGAATTCTCAACCTTCCCAACTCAAATTGCACCAAAATTGCATGATGTAGTTTCCTTAGGAATGCTGACTGTTTAAATCGAATCTAGAATGGCTGACTTCTTTTTCATGAGAAGGTGATCCCACAATCCTTTTTTGAATGAGGCCAAAGTCCCAATTGTCCTTACTGTTACTAAACTGCCCCTTTTCAACCCTCAAGCTACAATTCTCCAACTCCCATGTAGCAGGATTTTTGGTCAAGCTACCCCAAGCCCATTCCAGATAGCCCGGGACTTAGATAATCAAGGTATCCCATGGACCTCACCCGAGAGAAAGAGAACTGATAAACTGAAAAATGTGTGGGAGTTTCGGGATTGAGTACGGCCCAAAACAGGGGTTTGCCCTTCCAATTGAACTCTGCTCCATACACATTGTTGCTTAAGGGGACAGAGATGCCGGGCCACCAATGCCAAGTCCAAAAGGTTTTTCCCACACACATTCAAGCTTAAGAGTCTAGAGAGGTAGCAAAAAACAGTTTGGGTTAGGTCTTAATGACTCCACTCTAAAGGTTGCTGTTTTAAGGGTCTTCTCAATCAGTAAAATCAACCAACCACCATAGAATCCAACTCAAAACAGCCAGGCTAACAGTCATTAAAAAAAAATCTGCATCAGAAGTTTAGTGCAACTCAATTTGGGAGTTTGAAAGCTGTACACTGCTCAAAAGGACATTCCAGAATAAGAGCCAGAAGCAATATTCATTCAGACATTCTAAGAAGCATTTCCCTTCCTATACTTGGTCCTCCACAACTTAGCTGAGAATTGGAGACCATAATTGATGGTTTGGTTTAATCCCAGATCCAGAAAGAAGCACACACATCACTGAAGGTTAAAAGGGAGCATGCAACCTACTGTGTCTAGAGGGAATGTGGTTATGCTTACAACCTAAAGCCAACCAAGTCTACCCCCCCACACTTAAGGTGTGGCACTGTCCTCAGTGCCACTGGTCTGGTCAGGTCTGCCAATCACACAATCACCAAGTCACACTTCCTAACTAGCACATCACACCCTCCCCCACTTTCCTTGAACTACAGGAAGTATGGGACAGAGGTTCATCACTGGTTCCATAAGGGAACCAGCTTCCCTGTTCAATGCTGCAAGCACAGTCATAAATCCATTATTACAAGCAAAGTAAAAAAAACAGAACACTGGGTTGCCTCCCAGTTAGCTGCCCTGTTTAAAGTCCTTGGCCAGACTCTTTCTCAAAGTTCTT